TTGAATTCCACTAGCATCTAGTGCATATGTAAGGCTAGCAAAATCAGTCAAAATATGTAATTTTTATTAATGTATGTTGCGGTGTAATTTTTCCTATCTTAGTATTACACAATTAGCTCCATGAAACTAAAATGACTTTGAGCTCAGGCATACCAAACAATGAAATTCCATACAAGAGTTTTGTATCCATTTGTAATTCAACATGAGGGGAAGAGAATGAAAAAGGTTCACTATCTGTACACTGTTCCGCCATGGGATGTATCTTCCTTTAAGCAAGACCAAAAACAATACTGGCAAGAGTAGGCTTTAATACGTATTACTAATCATGATGGGTAAGATCTCTTCCTCATCCAGAACACTAATTCACAGAAAATACTTCAGTTAGGGGATTAAAATGGGCAAAACACAAACCAGGATGGCTTTAACAGAGCCCTACGTAGACAAGTAACCAAAAGCTAACAGCAGACAGCTGCAAGAAAGATAAACACAATTGGCAGGAAGTAGTGTTTAAACTGGGAGAGAACAGTCAAAAAACATTGGAGTCTTTAAAAGCTAGAGCCATTATAGCTATTTCTTTATTCCTTTAGTTCTTGGATGGAAGAGAGAAACTTGTTTTGATCAGGCATGTTTCTTCAGATCTGAACTTGCTCTCCTGAGTGTCATGTTTCAAATGTACAAAGATCAGTGATTTTTTTTTAAAAAAATATTTCTCTATGTATATCTAGTCACATCCCATAGGTGCAAATAAGGTATATTGAAGATTCTGCTTGAAAGCTTCCGTCAGCCTCCAAGAATCCTTCTTCTGCTTATCTTTCTGGCTGCCATAGAAGGGCGGGGGAAGAGAGAGGGAAGAATAATTGGACTTTGTGGGGGGAAGAGTGCTGAAGGTTTGAGTTGATGAAATGTAAAGTTTGGGATGTTGCTTGACTATGCTTACTTACTTACTGAGCATATGTAGCCTCTTATCTGTCTACGCCAGGGGTGTCCAACCTTTCACCTTCCCTGGGCCACATTAGAAGATGAAAATTTGGTTTGGGCCGCACATAAAATAAAATAACAGTAACGATACCTGATCATCCAAAAAAACCATAGAAAACATAGTTAACATATTAAATTTGCAAATGAAGTTAGTGAGATGTTTTTATAATTTATTATTAATTATTTATTAAAAATTATTTATTTTTTATCACGGTTTTTTTATCACGGTTTTTTTATCACGGTTTATTTTCCGGCCAAATTTTGCAGGGGGGGGGGAGAAAGCTCGCCCGCCTCGCGCCTACCTCTCCTCCTGCAAATGGCCCAGCTGGATGAGGCAGGACTGGAAGGCAGAAGCAGCAGTGGCGGTGGGGTCGGCAGCGGGGGCAGAAGCAGCAGCGGTGGTGGGGGAAGGAGCGGCGGCGGCGGCAGCGGGGGCAGAAGTGGCAGCGGTGGGGGCAGAAGCGGCAGAAGCAGCAGCGGTGGCGGGGGAAGAAGCAGCAGTGGCAGCGGTAACAGCAGGAGGTAGCGATCTGACAGCGACCACCTTTTCTATTGCTGCTTGGCCTGGCGCTCGCCTCGCCCCGCGCCTGCCTCTCCTCCTCCTCCTCGCTGGCTCTGGCACGAAGGTTGGGGTGGGCACTGGGCCGCGGGTTGGACAAGCCTGGTCGACGCCAAGGTCAACCGTCTTGGCATACCAGATGTCTGAAACCCCACCTGAAAATGCCCCACATGACATTATACACATCTCAGATTGGATGGCCAGTTTGAACTATTGGGGGTGGAAACTTGGGGTAACTTTATGCGATTTTCACGCCTATTGCTTCAGATCTTGTATTCTTCTGATGTTACCATATCATTTTCAGTAAAAGTCCTTTTCACTAAAACTATGGAGTATAAGGCTTTCTTTCTTGGATTTTGAATGGAGCCTCCCTGACAGCTTCTTTCTATTTGAAAGGGAAGTAGTTTGAACACTATGAACAATTCTGCTCAAACAAAATGAACTCAAAAAGTGTAGGTTTAAAAACTTTTGGGTTACGGGGCTTCCGGTTGGACTTCCCCAAAGACGGACCACTGACTGCGATCGTCCATGGCTTTGGTCCATGCTTCTTCGTTGGAGACCCCCGATTGGTTAGATTTGGGGCAGAAGCCACCTCGTAGGGGTGGCAGAGGAAGGGGAGACCGCCAGCTGGGTAGAGGGGAGTCGTAAATCCCCTCCCTGGCTTCGCAAACACTTCTTCCCAAAGACATCTGAAGCGGTGGTCTAAAATGGCCACCCTGAAGGGGAAGAGTCAGCTGGAATAAGATTGTGCTGGAGAGAAAGAAGCAGACAGCATGAGAAACAGGACGATTGGATGCTATAATTAAATGAAAGGTACCCCAGGATTGATCATTAAGAATTTTTAAGAAAGGATTCAAAGCACCGAAGAGAAAGAGAGGAAAAAGGGGTGTGAATTGTTTTTGACAGCTTTGAGGCTTTGAACCAAGAATGGTAGAAGCCGGAAGAAGAAACCATTTAATTAATCTGGATAAATATACTCTGATACTACATAGGCATTAATAAGGCTGAATTTGAAATTGTCAAAGGGAAAACTTAAATTCCAATTGGATCTGACTTTTGTTCTTGAAAGACTGTGGTTTAAAAAGCCCTGAATAGAAGAATTAAAAAAAGGGGTGAAGATTTGTTATAATAAAGGGTGGTTAATCTGGTGGTTAAATCTAACTTTTTTATATATATAAAGACTGTTTCTTAAAAACTTAAAGTAATATTGATACAATAAAACAAGAACTTTGAAAAATTGAAACGAAGTACGAAGACTCTGCCCTGGGATTAATTGCTGATTTTGGTATGGACTTGGTATTGGACTATTTGTGATCTAAAAATTTGAGCGGAATAAAGGTTGATTGTTGGAACTAACCTCATAGACACTATTTTGATTAAATTATTAGACAGAAATGTGCAAAATTGAGATATCTCTTCCGGATTTAAAAATGGAACTTAGAAACATGAAAGAAACATTACAAAAATGAGGTCAATCGTTGGGTTTTGCTTTAAATTTTTTGGAAAACACAACTGAAGAATATGAACAACAAAGACAAAAGACAGAAGAGGAGGTGGAGTTGACTACAGAAGAAGCCATTTTTAACTATCATCAGAAACAAAGAATTCTGAAAAGAAAGAGGAAAAGAGTGGGAAATAAAAATATGAGATGTAAGAAGGTAAATAAAAAGGGGAATTTCTGTAAAATTTAAAAAGGCAAAAAGAAACAGCAGAGAATTGAAGGGTGGAAGGAAGTTACAAATAGGGAGGGGGATAAAAACTGGAGTGGAAGAATAAAGGGGAAAATGAAAGGGAAAAGAAGGGTTAAGAAACAGGATCTGGAAACAAAGAAATATGGGAAGTGTAAACAAATGAAAAATTGTTGGTTTAGAAGACAGAGATAATGGCTGGTTAATATTTTAAAAGGAGATTCTGCAAGGTGATGGGGATAACATAAATATACTTAAAGTTATGAATATTGTAGGAAATAGGGATATATAATTACCAAGATGAAAAATAGAACTGATACTCTTTGGTATTGGAATGTATGCTCTTTTCTCATATATATAGAGAGATGAATGGAATAATTAATGGAATATGTTTATTAAATATATTGAAATAATTAAAATGAAATACGAGGAGGGTTGTAATGGAGTTGATACTTTTTAGTACTGGAATGCAGGCTCCTGTGTTTTAAATTTATAAAGATGAATGGAATGATCAATGGAATAAGTGTATTGAATAGATTGAAATAATTGAAATGATATAGAAGGGCTGAAACAAAATTAATATCAGGATTTAGGATTAAGTGAATAGATCAAGGTGTTTTCTTTTCTGAAATGGTAAATAAGGGTTATGAAATCAAGAAGGGGAAAAACCATGCAGAATCTGATTTAAAAGGTATATATGTTATGTAGTTTTAAAGGGATTATTAATTTCAATTTTTAAGTGATAAGTTATGTTTAATTTGAAAGGGGAGATAATGAATATGTAAATTTTAGAGGTGGCACACTTAAATTGGTAACTTAGAGGGGAAACAATTTTTTTCAAAAATGATTGTATTAAATTAGAACTTATGAAAGGATGTAATAATATGTGATGAAATATGGAAATGTGACAGTTAAAAGTATTAAAATATAATAATTATGAAGATACGAGAAATACTGATGATTTAAATAAGAGGCAAGCACTTGGTATAATATAATAAAACAGAAAATGGATTAAAGCATTGTTAAGATAAAAAGCTGAATGTACAAATTGAATATGTAACTATGGTCATATTTGTATGTAAATGTGGAAACCTGTAATCATCCTGTTCACCAAAAAGAGACTTTTTTAAAATTTGGAAAACTGAAATAAAACTTGTTTTTTTAAAAAAAGAACTTTTGGGTTACCAGGGTTACTTTTGGGTTTGGTTTAACCACAGTGGCTCAATGATTAATGATGCTGAGCTTGTCAAGTGGAAAGCTGACAGCCCAGGTTCAAGACCTGAGTGACATGTGATGGGGTGAGCTGTTACTTGCCGCAGCTCCTGCCCACCTAAGAGTTTAAAAGCATGCAAATGTGGGTAGATAAATAGGTACTTCATTTGGAACGTAACAGTGTTCCATGCGCTTCAGCATATAGTCATGTGGGACACATGACCATGGAAATGTCTTCAGGCAACACTGGCTCCCTTTGCTAAGAAACAAAGATGAGCACTGCCCCCTAAAGTTGGACGCGACTGAACAGGGAAACATTTACCTTTATTTTGTGTTATTTAGTTAACACTCTTCAGCAGACTGAACAGAGAAATGTGTGCATGCATGTGGTCTAAATAGATGGGACTTAAGTACTTTTATTCTAGCTATTCATTCATCCTTCAAACAAACCAAAAGCACTAAATAGAGGAAGAAGCAACAGTAATGTTGAAAAGCCTACGTATTTAATTGAAGATCTCCTTTGACCAGACTTAAGAGAAAATTCTGAATGACTCAGCAACAGATTTTGCATTTCATAAGTTTATTTGACAGAAAAAAAAATCTCCTTGCTGTACATATAAAAAAAATTAAATGCTTTTCAGAAATATGAAGAAACTTCTGTTCCCACCCTCCCTGATTTAGGGTTTCTCAGCTTCTTCTCAGCACACTTTGTCACCTTCCCCCTAAAATGCCTGAAAGCCCCTGTTCCAGTTCCAAACTTAACCCCTCATGACCTGGCTCAGCTAATAAATATGAGTGAGTCTCCCTTGAGGAGGAAAAAGGAAAAAAAGCACTGCATATTAAATTCATTTTGTTCTTGGGGGGTAGAGGAGCAGGAATAGTTGCCACTGCCAAGGATCAACTCCACTGTTACAGGCTACTGAAAGAAGCTGCCTGCCTTTCTTCAGAAAAGCTTGATAGAAAGTGGGGAACAGAGAAAGGAGCTACTAGACAGCACTACCTTCCATCTAATTCTGGGTTGTTAACATGTACTCCAACTTTTTATTACAACCCTCCACCATTTCCAGAGGGGGCTGAGAAACACTAAATCAAACAGATTAGATCACATATCCCTCTACTTCTCACCCACCCATTTATGTGTTTTTTTTAAAAAAACTTTTATGTCTAAATCAACAAAAAGGAGACACTCTCTCAAACGCAGAAGTATAGATTTTAGCTGCAAAATGCACAGGGAAAAAATGCTCACAGGAGGGAAAAAATCAAATGAACATCACCAACTGTTGGAAGAGGAGCATAGAAGTTTTTCGATCCTGGCAGGTGTTGTACAGAAATGTCCAGGGACAAGGGGAAGGTAGCTGCCGACAAATGACGGGCAATAAAGACAGGGACAGTAAAGGAAAAAACTAATGAGAATATAAAGGTGATGGCAAATGAAGAGACCTCCACTTCACTCTCCCCCCTAATTCAAACACACTGGTTTCCAGTGGACATCAGTAGGTGGGGGACTCCCAACTGGAATAGCACTGGACGCTGGGGATGGTGCAGTCTGTGGTTGTTCCACTATCCAAAAGGCTTACGGAGACCTTGGGGAGAAAAGGGAGGAGAAAAAAAATTAAGCAATGCAAAACAAGATGGTAATCTAACTTCTTAACCACATACAAATATTTTAAAGTACAATGTAAATCGCGTGACCATGGGGATGCAGCAGTGGTCATAAGTGTGAAAAATACGTCACTTTTTTCAGTGCCATTGTAACTTCGAATGGTCACTAAATGAATTGTAAGTCGAGGTCTACCTGTATTCTTTTTTGTAAAGAGAAAGAAAGCATTGAGGTCCTCTGAATAATCCATTTTCATCATACCAGACTATTCTAGGAACCATAAAATATTACGTATAAATTGTCACCTTATTTTTGCTTCTCATCCCCTTTTCTCTGTGTTTTTAGATTACAACTACAAGGGCAGAAAATGAGTGGGGCTTGTTATGGGAGTTTTTTAGGCTAAAGAATACAACATATTTTAAATAAAGAATAGCAGTCAAGTCTTACAGAATTGAAGAAGTCAGCTGTGGTAAGTTTCAAGAGAACAAAAGAATAAATGCTTCATGTATAGCTCTCTGGATCTCACTTCAAAACAGAAGGGAATGAAACAGAGCATTTTCTGAAAATGGGGTATGTTCAGCCTAAGGACTCTACTTTGAGATTAACAGAGTCCCCAGCTGCTTTCAGTTCACAAGTGAGCTTAAATTTCAGAGAGCAAGTGGATAAGAAACATAGTGGATATCAGAGGTGGTATTCAGCCGGTTTGCACTGGTTCTAGCGACCCGGTAGCAAGAATTTGGCATGGGTCATGGAACCGGTAGCGACTTCTGGCTGGCCATGCCCTCACACCGGTTCCCCGGTCGCTGGTTGCTCAGTTGCCCCATCCACCAGATGCTCGCTTGCGCCTCTCACCCCGCCCAGTCACTCCTCCCCTATGAGGCATGCTGGGTCCTCGTGGCTTGCCATTTTAGCCTTCCCACGTGGTGCCTGCGCCTCAACTGAGCAGCCCTGATCTGCCTGCTGCTCACAGGTAAGCCTGCGAGTCGCGTTAACTTTGTGTGGAAGTGTGGACTTGGCTTCGCTTCTCGCATCTTTCCTGCTGCTCTTATTTCTTGTCAGGCCGTATTAACCTCCTTTTTTGTTGTGCCTAATGGTGGGATAGGTAGAAGTTGAACAAATGAAGCTTCCCCCCCCCCCCCCACAACTGCCCAAACGCTTGTTCAGCGAGGGAGGGGCGGCTGCCCTGGATAATGTAGGCAGAGTAGCCTCGTGCTTCCTGGTCTCCGTGCCTCCCAGCAGGTGAGCCCCAGAAGCTGCTGGAGAATCCGGGCAGGGGATGAGATGTGGGCTGGCAGGGAGCTGAGTGGCGACAGCTCTGACCTGGCTGGCTTGCCTTTCCCTCTGCCACCAGCTGCAGGAGCAAGGTAATGTTTCAGGTAGTCAGGAAAGCCAAACTGCTCCCTAGCCCAGAGCTGCTGGCGGGGGAGGGGGCGTGACGCTGCAGCACACATGTCACTTGAAGTTCTCAGCCCTTTCCTTTCCCCAAAAGTGGGAGGGGAGGAAGTCTTTGGAAGTCTCAAAGGGGTGGCTCCTTTGTTGGTCCTGGAAGCATTGCATGTCAGCTTTTCTGGGCAACATGGGACACAATACTGGCCAGGAAGAACCCTCGTAAGGAGTGACACTGCCGAGTGCTTGAAAGTTTGTGTGTGTGTGTGTGTGTGTGTGTGTGTGTGTTTGTTTCAGGTGGGTCTCCTCTCCTAGCTTTAGGAGGAGAGAGGGGAAGCAAAGGATAGAAAGGGAGAGAGAAAAACAGAGGGAAAGAGAAAGAGAGAGAAAAAGTGAGAGGGAAAGAGAGAGAAGGAAGAGACAAGAAAGAAAGAAAAGGGAAAGAAAGAAAAAGGGGTAGACAAAGATGGGATGGAAGGAAGGGAGAGAAAGAAAGAGAGATCAAGAAGGCGGGAGGGAGGAGAGGGGAAAAAACGGAGAGGAAGGAAGGACACAAACTCTAGCTTCGGAAGACTCTTTGAAACAGGACAGGAATCTAGGGCTGAAAGGGATCTTCTTCTACTCCAAGGGTTTTCAAACTTTGTAAGTTTAAGACTTGTAGACTTCAACTCCCAGAATTCTTGAGCTAACATGACTGGAGGAGGAATTCTGGGAGTTGAAGTTCACAAGTCTTAAAACTGTCAAGTTTGAAGACCCCTGTTCTAGTCCAATCCCCTGCTCCAGGAGGAGATCCTTACAGAATCATAGAACAGCAGAGTTAGAAGGAACATTGAAGGCCATCTAATCCAACCCCCTGCTCCAGCAGGAGACCTTATATCATCTGGAATCTGAATTATTTTGGTGCTGAAGGGGACATTAATAAAGAAATATAGTAAAATATATTATAGCATTGAGAGCTACTCTATAGGAATTTGTTATCTCGCTGTTGTAAAAAAGATTTCCTTAACCTTTTACTTGTTGTAAAACAATTATAAACATATGCCTGCAATCAGTTACACCCCTCTCCTATTAAGACACGTGATTGTCCCATATAAATCAATCTGAATCCATCTGTTTTTCTGGATTGATACATTTCAACCCATGGGAATGAAACGTACCTCTCTGGGAATGTAAAATCCTCCATTCCACACCTTTGAAGTATGCTGTTGATAGCCTCCTTAAGTGGTCAATTGTGATCAATTGGATGGACAATCAGAGAAGAGATAGGGAGAGATTTGTCTTTTGCAGGAAAGATGTAAATCTAAGTTAAAGAGTTTTACATTGCACTTACTCCACTTCTAAGAATCTTAAAGGTACGGGGCATTTTTCTGTATTTTGTAGAATTTTCCTCCCATGTCTCTTGTGATGTGCTAGGAACTTCTTCCCAGATCTTTAACTTTAATCAAAGAATAAAAGTCTGCTTTCTTTGATTTGCAAGCCTCTGTTTAAGTCTTTGTTTTGGTTCATTTTTGGCTTAAGAGTACTGCCAGACCTTACAGTGCCCCTAACAGAGAGGAAAATTGGCAGAGGAGTTTATTAGGACAAAGCTGCCATGCAGAGGAAGCAGAGATAGTCTTTCACTTATGACCACAATTGAGCCCAAAATTTTGGTTGCTAAGCAAGTGTTGTTAAGTGAGTTTCACTATATTTTACTCAATCCATGACATCTCCTGGGTCTAACGGTCATATGCAGGCTAGGGAAGTAAATCTGAAGGCGTGTGCAATGTTCTAATGTACAGAAGTTATAGTTAAATGTGTGGCAGAAAGTGGACTATGGGTATGTTTTTCCAAACGCAGTGAGGTTGAATGTATATAGTTTTAGAAGAGCTCTGTGTGTGGTTGTGTGTGTGTGTGTGTACATACACACATTATATATAGTAGTGTATCTTTTTGTGTGCCGATACACACACTATACCATGTAATATGTATATACACATATGGCATATATACATAGGATTAAATAGTGTATTTTGGATATTTAGTAGTAGTAAATAAATAGAGAGGGAAATTGTATCTCTGAGGTGAGGAAGGCCAGGCAAGGCACCCCTTGACGTGAGTGATGTCAAGTTGGCCACTCCCACCCAACCACAGGACCACCAAATAAGCCACGCCCACAGAACCGGTAGTAAAAAATTTTGAATCCCACCACTGGTGGATATAGTCACAAATTATCCATTTACCAGAACAGAAATTAGTAAGGATAATCCTCTCTGACCTCCAGTCTAGCCAGGACATTCTATATCATTATCTCAGCTTAGCTTTCTTTTTCAGACAGGCCCACTAAACAAATAATGCTGTCACACACATGGAAACAAAGATTTTGGTACTCTAGCAATTTATTTGAAGCAAGCCATTTATTTATATCTAGATGTAGATGAGAAGAATTCACAGACTTCACGATGGAGATTTTAGGATTAAAGACACTAGCACAATTATACCTTCAGGAAATGAGTAGGAACACACTGTGTCAGGAATAACAAAACTATAATAAGTATAGGCAAGTCAGTTGAATAGTTACATATAAAAGGACCTTTGGCAATTGTTAGGTATTTCTAAAACTAGCAAGTCATGCTCAATACCTTGAAGGTCTGCGACGAGGAGCTCGAGGACTGGGAGATTTGTGTTGAAGTTTTCGTCCTGGAGACCTGCTGATGCTTCGTTTGTTTCTCCGCAGGGACCTATCCCTAGACCTGTCTCTGGATAGAGAATGGGGAGTATGAAACTAACTTGGATTCAATGTTAAATGCATTCTGCAAATAATCCCTAAACAATTTTTCAGCCAAGGGAAGTAAGACTTGCTGAAGAGACCTACCTACATCGATCCCTTGGAGTAGAGGGTGGTTGGGGAGGAGGGGAAATCTGACGCTGTTTTGCTGGGGAGTACCTCAGAGAGTGGGAATCTCTCAATGAGTCAATTGGTTTTCTAGGGCTGTGTGACCTAGCAATAGAAAGAGCCAATGGTAAAAAAATGGTCAAAAATGGAAAGAGTCACTGAAATTAGGAATGAATTGAAAAGATGAATTGGCAGATAGCAAATTTAATTGCATTAATTAGGGGAAAGAATGTAAATAGTTTGTGTCCACCTGAAAACCTTTTTGGACTTTCTACTCAAAAGAGAAAAAAAATCATTTTAGGTTTTGACAGTTAAGTAGATCATGATTATAGGAACAGCTAGTATTTACTGTTTTAGATAAGTAAAAAGTTGATATTATAACTGTATTATGTATCTCACTGCAACAAAAGAAGCTGGAAGTCACTGCTTTTTGATTCTTCCATTCCTTTTTCTTTCCTCATTTTATCAATCTTTCCCTTTTCCTTTCCTCCCATTTCCTTCTTTTTTCCAATGTCTTTATTTGTATTCCATATTTAACAAAACTTAATAAAAATATTGTAAATACGAGAAACACTGCTCTAAAAGAGGACCATCGAATATAGTAGTCAGAATTTGCCATCCGTGTCCATAAGAGAACATGGCAAAACAAGATACTGTAATGAAAATACCATCAGTTGTAAGTTGCAACATTCTTAGCAAATATTTTTACAGAAGTATTTGCAATATTTTTAAAGTACTTTTAGGTACAGCCTACCATGTGCAGTCCTATTGTAACTGATACACCTCTCCTTCTACCAAAAAAGCTAGTACCACAAATCTTCCACAGCTCTTTTAGCATCTGGCAGTCTTCTTGGACTATTTCCCCAAGATCTCATGATATTTGCACTAGGCATGTGATGCCAGAAGCCATTCTAAACATCCAGCAAATAGAACAAGGTAATTCTCTTAGGGTGCCAAGTCAAGGAAGGAGAAGGAAGAGCTGGTTCACCTCCACACTTCAACAACATTGCCAATAAAAGAATAGAATACTGATTCTCAGGTGCAAAGTATACCTCTTCATTAGCCGAATACTTACTTTCTCTTTCCTGGAGATGGTTTCTTCTTTAGGGGACCCTTCATCACTGCCTGAAGTCCTGTTTTAGGCAGTGGCATTGAAGAGGACAAAGATAAAGAGGAGGAGGAGGAGGATGAAGAGGAAGAGCTGCTGCTTGAACTGCTTGAGCTTTGAGAACGACACTTACATTTGCCCATTTCCAGAGGTTGCTCATCATGATTAGTCTCTTTCAGCACTGGGCTTGGTGGCAAGGAAAGTAAAAGGAACAGGGTATAATTAAAGACTGGGTGGCTCCAACAGAGGAAACAAGTTTCAGGCAGGTTAACTGAAGAAACTCACATTTCTGAATGGACACATAAACTCCAGCTCATGTTGTTTATGAGAAAAGTCTAGGAAAACAGTTGACAGGAGTCTTTTAAATTCTTTTTAGCAGCATATTCAGTCTATTATCAGTCAATAGTTATGCCTCACAAAATGACAGCCTTGGTTGGAATAAGCAATCTGAAAATGCCACAAATTTACATTGTCAAATGCTTTCAAAACATCTAGAAAGATCAATGCTAGTTGGAAATCGAAACTGCATTCCATACAATAGTTTTTAAGAGATTGTAAGTAGGTGACTGAAGTTCCTGCCGCGCAAAAATCTAACTGGAGAACATGACTGATGACTCTTGGCTATGGATGGGTGTCATTGGAGAATATGAATGATACACCCAGAGGGGTGGGGGAAAACCAGGGTCAAGGGTGACAGTGAATTACGTGTCTCAGAGTTGGCTACTTGGCTACACCCAGGTAGTGCCGACATGTTAACTCCCAATAAATCCTGTTTAGTTTTTGAAGTTTGGATCGAGACTCATGATTTAATTGGGGTAACTGCGAGAATCATGACATTATGTCTAATCTTAATCTTTGTAATTTTGTGAATTAGGGGAATTTAGTCCATTTATATTAACTGACATCTTTATTTCTTCTTGCATTGCTTCACTTGTATATAGTAGGTTTTATGCTCCTAGTTGCTCTTATTTAACTCTGTTCCTTTGCTCTTGTTTCTTCTTGCTCTGTTCATTCTTTTTTCATCTTGCCGTGAGTGCTTTTCTTCTATCATTGGCACTTCTTGGCTTTTATGCACTATTTCTCCCTTCACTTCATGTCCCTCTTCCATGTTGAAGTGGCAAACATAAAATTCCATTGCTTTGTCCAATGAGTCCAATCTATGTCTTTTTTTCATGCGAAGTAACTAGTATTCCCTCAGGTATCAGCTATCTGAAGTTTACATTGTATTTAATCAACACTGTAGTCAAAAAATGGTATTGTTTCCTAAGTCCCTTACTCTCCTAGCGATCTGTTTCAAGAGTACCAATTGTCTCCCCTTATGTTGCAATTGTTTGTTTTTGCCTTAAGTATTTCATCTCATTATTTTTTTCAAATCTCACATGTACTTCTCAGAAGATTATGACTCCTCGCGTAGTTTGTGTGTATTCTAAAAAAAATGTCTTTCTGCTTCCATTTCCTGCTTATCCACCCCTAGTGCCTTCATCAACAACTTTCATTGTGTCTGGTAGGTCTTCTCCCTTCTCTTCTATATTTTGAAATCTCAGATAGTGAACAGCTTTTTCTGTTTCCAACATTATCATGGTGCTTTCTAGCTCTTTGTTTGCTTGTGTCAGTTTATAATTTATGTTGTCCACTTTTTTCTCTACTTGTTTTGATTTCTCCTCCATTTTCTGAATCCTTTGCTCATTTTTTGTTATAATTTGTTGAAAGTTCTCAAATTTTTCATCCATATTTTGAATTTTTTCTTTCATCTCGTCCATGTCATTTCTCACTTCCCCTATATCTTTCTTTATCTCATGTTTTTTTTTGTCATGGACTCCTGTAATGAGTGAAACATCGCCAGCATTTCCTTTTCAAAAGTATTTGATTTCTCCATCTGTAACATGCTCCCTATTGACCTCTGATTAGATGGGCTTGAGAAGGCTGATCATAGTGTAGAAGATGCCTTCTTCCCTATTTTAGTTAAATTTGAGGTGCTTGACATCTCAACAGTTAATATTAATGCCTTCTTTCTCTTCTTTCCCCTATTTGTAAGCTAGCAACAGGTACACCCACCAATCCTACTAACAGCCAAGGGCAAACCAACCAAAAGCTAACCAATAGCACCACGACATTTCGATATCCCACGTGTCAGATGAGAAAAATAAAAAGACCGTATTACAAATCCAATTCCCTCCAATTCAAGTTCAATCAATCTTCAGTATCTCAGTACCACAATCAAGTTTACAATCCACAAGGGCCACTGTAACCCCCGTCTTTAGTTTTTCAATAGTCCAATAGTCCACAGGGTCAATCCACACTGGCCATACTTTATAAGAAAAATCAAAAAGTAAAAAGGGAAAGAGGAAAAATATTTATCCTTAAGAATGTTTTTATACTGTCTTGTCTTCTACCAATTAGTATTTGTAATTCACAAGGCCCACTGTGTCCCCAGTCCTTAATACTCCAATATTCCAAAATGCCAAATTAAACTCAAGGTCTTCCTACGTTCTCAAAATAAATATCTGTCTTTCCACTTTTTCCATCCATCAGCCAAAAGCATTTATAATCCACAAAGATTCAGAAGAAGTTCTTCTCTGTAACTGTCCCCTATCTTGCTTTTCCCACGATGATTTCCAAAACAAATTTAGTCTCTATCTATTTCTAAACACCAGGTGCAGCAGTCCTCAAAACAAAGTATTTTCAGTCTCTTATTTAGCTCAGTCACTTCCAAAACATTTTTATATACTACCTTTGGCCAGTAGGTTGCATCCTTACTTTCTTTTTCCCTTTCCACTATGAGTTCAGGAGTCAAGGAAGGGGGGGGGGGGGAGAGAACCTTTCACTTATTATAGCCAAAAATATAGGGAAAATAACTCAGTAGAGGTGCACATTATCCATATTCATATCTTAGATTGTACTTGTCTTGTTAAAGTACCCAGTCCAGTCTTTCTCTTCCCATTTTAAAAATAATTATTTGTTTCTTTTTCTATTCCAGTGGATGTGTAATCAGCTCAAAACTTTCACTCACCGCTTTCCATTGGAGGGGGAAAAACAATTCCCTCCCTCCTTCTCTCTGGAGTCTCCCTTCTTCTCAAAAGTACTTTTGGTGCACTTAGCTTAATTCTGGGTGGAAATTAGGCAATCCTTACCCAGACCCAGTACACTGTTTCCCTTTCCGCTTCTCTCTGTGCTTTCTTCGTTCTGGCTGTCACAGCTCCAGTTCAGCCATTAATGGCCATCTTCTTCTCCACCTGTCAGGAAGATTTCTCTGGATCCAGCAAAGTGGACCACTGTCCACTTGTGATCTACAGGAGCCCTTCATATCTCGTCACCCCTACAAGGTGACTTTTGGCTCTGAAGAAACTCCAGATTTGAATACCCTTTTTCTATTTGCTTATATAGGACGCTAGATTAGAATTCAACTGACACAACTTCAGATTTTAAATCTAGCAATACTAGAAATAAAAACATTATTGGTTGTGTTATACTTGACTGTATCTATTGTATACAGTTGCACAGAATATCTGAGACAATGCTTATGGACTATGAGTCCGCACAACATCTCTTATGGCAGAGATGTCATTCTGGAAACTGGGATTAGAAGGGATAAGACAAGGACATGAATAAGTGAATGTGCATATACATTGTTAATTGAGCAAGAAACTGGATGTTGGGTATTACAAGGCAGTGACTACTGACAGCTTAAAAGACATGGAAAAAAGGGATTACTAAGAAGAAAAGTTCTTACTGTTTCAGTTCAATCTCAGCCTCAAGATCCTTTGTTGCCTGATCATGGGGACTGGATTCAGATGAGCTGGACTCAGAATCAGAAGTTGAAGATAAGGATGAGGAGGAAGAAGAGGATGATGATGAACTGGTAGATGAAGCAGGTGAACTTCTCTTTGCCTTTGAAGGGGCAGAGGGTGGAAGAGAGGGAAGAGCAGGTTGTAGGACTGTGGGACAGCTGCTCCTGGTGTCATCCTCCATGGTGACAGAAGCCAACTGTGACTCAGCCTCAAGGGTAGGCAAGTGCACCTCAGACCTGTCTGCTACTTTTCCTTCAGACACAATCTCCTCTTCTTTGGGGGATGGCACTAGAGCAGAAATCAATGCTGGTAAGGGGCTTGAAGAAGCACAGGAGGAAGAGGAGGAGTGGGACAATAATTTAGCTTTTACAGGAGAGAGGGAGCCTGCATGACAACTGCTTCTCCCTGACAAAGGTGCACCAACTTCTACATCATCTTTAATTATAGCTTGCTGCATGCTCTGATTCCTATCTCCTGAACTGTTTCGGATGGCTATGGAGTCACCATTGTTTGATACTGAAGGCAAGTCACGTAGTATAGATGGATCCTTTAGCAATTTATGAGATTCCTCACAAGGTGGAGTTAAAGCACAAGGAATGGCAATGTTGTTTTTGCTGTGCCAAAGAGAGGAGCTTGCTGGCTTCTCTTGGAGGTCAGACTTGGGATATCTCTCTAGAACAAGAGGAGAGTGAGACTTTCTTCTTGGAGATGTGTAGGCTTCCTGGGTGCCTGATCTGGAATGCTTCCTCACAGGAGATGACTGACAATCAGGGGATACTCTGGACCCAGTGCCTTTATATGATGCTGTTACACATGATGTATCTAATCTGGGAGGTGAACAGGATGCATTCCAACTTGTTGCAGTCCTCTTTGGGGACAATTGCAACATCTGTACTGACGATTGGGAATGACCTCTGTGTGGTAGTTTAGATTTCTCCTGAGAAAAGGATCTTGAGCAGCTTCTAGCTGGAGAGGAAACTGATTGTTCCCTCCGCAACGAACCCCAAGATTTATCTTGTCGCCTGGAGAGTGAACTGGAGTGACCCCTCCATGAGGGAGAGCCAGATCTTTCTTGTTGCAAAGAAGTTCTGGGCCTGTCACCATTGGATGATGACTCAGACTGATGTGGATGTGTGCTGGTGCTTGATTTTTCTCTGGAGAGTGATCTAGACCGTCCACATCTTGGAAGTGTTCGAGATTTGCATCTAGGACTCCCTGATACAGATCTCTGTCTTCTTGTAACTGGTGTTCTAGACTTTTCTCTTGCCTGTGATCCAGACCTACATCGTGGAGGGGTTCTAGATTTTCTTCTAGATCTTGGAGATGATCCGGCTCTGCAGTGGTATCGGGGTGGTGTTTTGGATTTTATTTGGGACCTTGGGGATGACCCAGATCTATGTTGTCTGTGTGGTTTTCTAGACTTTATTCTGGGTCTAGGAGATGAGCCAGACCTATGGCGTCTTGGAGGCGTTCTGGACTTCAAGTTAGGTCTTGGTGGAGACCCAGACCTGCCATGCTTTGGCGTTCTGGGTTTTGGTCTAGAACTAGGTGGTGACCTTAATGTTCTGCGTCTTGGAGGTGTTTTTGATTTTATTCTTGGTCTGAGCTGCGACACAGATCTGCTCTCAGATTTCTCTTTCCATTCTGGGGAAGAATCTGAATTACTCTCACTAGAGTGCATTTTTGGCTTCTCTTTAGTCCCAGAATAAGAACCTGATCTACTTCTTTGAGATGCCTCTTTAAATGCCCCTTTCTTCTCTAAAGGTGATCTGGGCCACATCACTGTAGCTTTAGAAGATCCTCTTATTTCCAGAGCAGATCCAGGTCTATTGTGCTTTGTAATTGTTACAAAAGTGCTGTTCTCTGGTTCTGGAGAAGAATATGCTTTGCCATGCATTGGAGATGAAATTGATTTATTCTTGTTGATTGACAGCCCCGCAGAACAACTAAGTCTGGGAGGTGACTGAGATTTATCATCTTCTGGAGATGTTGATGAAGTAGAAGAGGAGGAAGAGGAGAAGGAGGAAAAAGAGGAAGAGGAGGAGGAGGAAAAAGAAGAAGAGGAAGATCCAGATCTACTCCGCTTTGATGGAATATCTGTCTTTTTAAGTACTGGTGATGACTCAGATGGCATTTGTCTTGAGGAAGACTGCAATTTTTCTTTTGTAGAGAGAGATGAACCTGGTTTATTCTTTTGGCATGGAAGTGAAACACTTTCCATTACTGCCATGGAACTAGATTTGTTGTGCCCTGGAGAAGATTCAGATTTTGTTTTCACTTCTTGGAATTTATTTTGCTTTGGAGGAGTTTTAGATTTGTCATTCAGTTCAGATGATCTAGATTCACTTCTTTTGGAGGGAGATTTCTCTTTCGCTGCCTGAGGGGACAGTCCGCATCTGACTTGCTTCAAAGGTAAAGATTTTGTCATCTCAGGAGAGTATCTTGACTTGGTCCTGGAAGGTGATCTTGACTGTTCTTTGCTCACTGGAGAAGAGCCAGATGTGCTTTGCCTTGGAGATGACCTAGTCTTCTTTAACTCTGAGAAATCATTTTTGCATTTTTCCAGTGAAGATTTCTTAATTTCTAATGAAGTTCCAAAAGCAACTGGTCTTAGAGGAGAAAGAGATGTCTCTCTCAAAGCCAGAGGTGATCTAGACCTGCTCTGCCTTTGGTGCGGTGATCTAGATTTTTCTTTTGTTTCTACAGACCTTCCAGATCTGCTTTGCTGCAGTGGAGATACAAATGTTGATTCTGTACAAGCTGCTTGCCTTATTGGTGATAAGAAGTTTTCTTTTGCTGATGATTGACTGGAACTAGACTGACTTCGCCTTGGAGATGATCCCATTTTCCTTTTTAGCACTGGGGGTGATCCTACCCTCAGCTTTGTTTTCACTTCTGGAGAAGACTCAGATCTGTTTTGCCTTCTTGGTAATCTCATCTCTGGTTCTGGAGAGGACCAAGATATACTATGTCTTGAAGGAGACTTTGATTTCTTTCGCAGTGCTTGAGAGGAACCAGACTGACTTCTTTTTGAAGTGTTTTTAGCTTTTTTAGTTTCTTCAGCTGCTAAAGAAACATCAGACTTCCTTGTAAGCCTTGGAGATGAACCAGAACTGCTCTGAGGGGACATTCTGGTTTTGTTTTTGAGGGCTGGAGATGACCTGGATTGGCTACACCCAGGTGATCTTGATTTCTTTTTTGGTGTTGGAGAAGAACCAGATCTACTTTGTCTGATCCTTAATCTACATTTCTTTTTTACTCTTGGAGAAGAACTAGAACGACTGCGCCTTGGAGGTGTTGTTGATCTTTTATTCCTTGACCTTGGAGAACCTGAATGACTCCTTCTTGGAGACAACAGAGTTTTCTTTTTAGCTTTTGGAAGTGATCCAGACAGACTACATCTGGGAGATGCTTTTAACCTTGATTCAGGAGAGGAACCAGAGAGACTATGTCTTAGCACTTTACTAGATCTTTCCCTCATTCTTGTAGATGAATCAGATCGACTTTTCCTAGAAAAAAATCTGGAAACTTTCCGATCTGAAGACGACACAGATCTGGTTTGTCTGGCTGAAATCAAGGATTTCTCTCTTCTTGGAGATGAACTTGATCTTCCTCTCCTGAGAGACGTCCTAGTTCTAGACCCACCTCTTCTTGGTTGTGTTCTGGAGCGGGATCTTGCTTGCCTGGGTGGACTTCTTGATCTAGACCTGCCTCTTCTTGGTGTTCTTGAACGTGACCTCCCTCTCGGTGGTGTTCGTGACCTGCCCCATCTTCCACTATTTCTGCTTCTAGACCAACCATGCCTTTGGGGAGTTCTAGAACGAGACCAACCATGCCTCCGGGGTGTACGAGATCGACCCCATCTGGGAGGTGTACGTGAACGTGATCTATCCCATCGTTGAGGTGTTCTTGAACGGGCTCGCCAGTGGGGAGTTCGAGAACATGCCCTTCGCAAAGGAGTACATGAACGGGATCGAGCATGTCTCTGAGAACAAGACCTGCCCCTCCTTGGTGGGGTACATGTGCGTGATCTACCTCTCTTAGGTGAGGTCCGGGACCGAGATCTACCTCTACGAGTAGTGGGTGTTTGAGAGAGAGATTTGTCCCTCCAACCGGCTCTTGATTTGGAGCCTTTAGATGGAGGGGTGCTGGATGGTACACATCGAGATGTCTTAGAAGGCTGTTTTTGCCCAGAACAAGAGATTTCAGGGGATGAGCTAGGTTTCTCTCTCTCTGTAGAGACTTTCTCTTTGTCTTGCCTTTTGGGAGGGTCCTCTGGATAACAGTTGCAAGAAACCGGAGCAGCCTTAGTTGGTGGGGAAGGAGAAGAGGAGAAAGAAGAGAAGCAACTACCACACTCTGAAGGAAAAGGTGAGCGCTGAGGTGTAGAGTCCTCATGAGATATCTTCTTCAACTTGTTCTCAACAGTCTTAGAAGCAGATGAGGAAGCTGTAAGCTCCTCCTTGTGGTCAAGAGAAATCTTAGCCTTGGATGGTGGAAGAGTCCCATTACGATCCTCTGACTGCTTCTTAGCAGATGGAGAGGAACAGGAAGGAGACCTATTCTCTTTAGAAGGGGAACACTTTTCTCGAGAAAGATCATTCAGCACAGGAGAATGATGCATAGACTTTGGATCATGCTCAAGTGAGGGGGTAGATTTTTGACCCCAATGCCAAGCAGACTTTCTGTCCTTGTCTCTTTCTTTCTCTTTGGCAGGAGATGAAGGACTTGGAGAACGCTGAACGGACTTACGTACTGGAGAATGCTTGGATATTTTCTAAACAGAAATATAAAAAACAGTAACTAGAACTATCCTTTGAAAAAGCAAAAAGGCTCAGCAGCCAGCTCCTAACTACATTACAAATATTTTGAAAGTGAAAAGATCACTAGAATTCTTGTTTAACTCTAAGCAACTCATTAGCTGTCATTTTACAACAGCATTTTCTAACCTGGGTGATTTTGTGTGGACTTCAACTCCCAGAATGCTTAGCAATGGCACATTCAATGGAAAATTCTGAGGGTTGAAGTCCACACATCACAAAAAGTTGGACACACTGTTCAACAAACTATAATTAGATTTTAAGCTTGAGGAAGACACTGCTTTAATATATTAAAAATAACTTAGAATCCACCATTTTTCCTCTCCAATTTTAATGAACCAATCAGTATTTCTAAGTCATTTTGTTCCAAGTGACTTTATTTATGTAAATGTTTCTCTTTCCTAATACATGTATTATACTTTACCTCCTGCTTTTCTCTGCTTTCTCGAGGACTTGTGCTCCTGCCTCGCCAGGCAGGCTCAGCAGAAGATGAATGCTCTCTCTCTCCCAAATTCTTAGAAACCGCTTCAGTGTCTGGTTTTTGTGAACTTGACAAAGGACACTTGCTCTGCTGTCTAAGGAAGCTCCTTTTTTGAACAATGGGGCTGCCTGATCTGTAAACAAATGATTAGAAGGTTAAGCCACAAGGCTCTGCTCAAGTTTAATAGCTAATTACAAGACACAGAGCTTGATTCTCCAAGATGTACCTGCTGTGGGATGCATCTGATGTGGAAGAACCATCTGGGGAGGAAGAGCAATCCTGATGGTCTTTCTGAGATGCAGACTCACTGGTGGACCTGAGTTAAAAATGAGAATCAGATGCCTGCAAAAAAGATCAACTTTAGTTGCACAGCACAGGTAGAATAGGTGGCTTTTACCTCTTCCGTTTCTCTTCCTTGGATTTGTGTTTGCTTTTGGGACTTGGAGATCTGGGGGAAAAAGTTTGTTTTGAATCATTGTTGAACAGTGACATATGCAGCGACTGTTTCTCCCCCTGTTCCTTTCATATCCTTCATAGGACATCTACGCTAGCAATACCCAAGAATAACTGTCCCTAACATACCAACTCCAAATTCACAGTCAAGAAACCAATGTAAAGTTTAGATGTAGATACACAGCTTTTGAAAACACTGAAGCGTGCATGGGATCACAAACACAGCTGCTGTTTAAAAAATCTTAAAACAGCCTCCTCTTTTACCTAGGAACAGGATCCCATGAAAAGGTACCACTGCTTTAAGATGTTGAAAACAAGTGCTATATTTGCAACTCTCACACATTCTAAGGCACCTTTGAAAACCAGACCTGTGGGAACTTCCGTTTAGGCTCCCTTGGTGACGGACCGAAATCTGTGATCGTCCACAGTTTCAGTTTGAGCTCGCTGCTGGAGGGCCCCGATCTACTTGATTTGGGGCCGAAGCCACCATGTAGAGGTGGCGAAGGAGGAGGAGACCGCCAACTGGGTTGAGGGGAGCTGCATCTCCCCTCCTTGGCATAAAACTCCTCTCCAAAGGCAGTTGCAGCAGTGGTCAAAATGGCCACCCCAAAGAGGAAGATCTGACTGGACAAGATTGTGCAGGAGCGGAGAAGAGGACAGCTTGGGTGACTGGGCTAAGCAGAATTAACATCTGAATACAAGGTACCCTGGAGCTAAAATACTTAAGAACTTTTGAGAAAGGTTTTTAAAGCGGCAGTAAAGAAGAGGGGAAAAGATTTGACAGCTGGAAGTGGCTTTGAACTTTCAGAGAAAAGTTAGAAGAATTAGTGAAAATGATTCTGACACCAAATAGGCAAATTTAAAGCTGAAATTGAAAGTGTCAAAGGGGAAATAAGAAGCTTTTGAAACTTAAAAAAGCCAGAAAAGGAGAAAAAGCAGAGGAAGGAAAAAAGGGGGTGGAACTTGGACATACCAGAGAGTGCCACCTGATGCTAAAAGAAATTAATGTGAACTTTTAAAAGATTTTTAAAGAATAACGAAGTAAATGAAATTTTGCTACAATCAAATAGAGCCCACGGAAAGTGAAAGTGAAGCTTGGAACTTAATAACAAAGAAAGAAGTAAGAAGAAACTGTTCTGGAACTGTGATGATTTTGGAAACTTTGGACATTGGATCATTAGAGGATATAATTGAAATTAACTCTGGGAAGTAATTTTATAGAATTTGGTTGTCTAAAAGTACTGGAAAGTGTTGAAAGATGGCAGAACTTTATCTGGAACTGAAAATGGAATTTAAAAACATGAAGGAACAGCTGCAAGAGAAAGGAGAATCGCTTGGCTTTGTTCTGCAATCTCTGGAAATGGCAGTTTTGGACACTCTAATTGTCAACCATAGGGGAAACCTTGTTTTGTAATGTTTGAAATGTGGATATGTAATGAAATTGTAAACGGGACAGATAAAAGTACAAGTATAATTATTATGAAGATATTAAAATTTTGAAAAGGATATGTAATAGATTTAGAAATGAATGAGAAAGCTATAAAATAAGCCTAAGGGAAGTATTTGAGGGAAAAATTAATAAAGAATATATAAAGTAGTGATAAGATATGAAATTGAATATGAAAGATGAAAATGTAACTGAGATTATATCTGTATGGAGATATGAAAACCTGGAACCAAGCTGTTCACTAAAAAAGATGTTTTTTCTTTTGTTTTGTGAAAACTCAAATAAAATTGTTTTCTAAAAAAGAAAACGAGACCTGTGGAGCCCTACTAGATACAAATTATTGAACTTAATTCATCCTACCATAGGTGATTCTGAGAATAAGTAAACAGAAAGAACCACTACCTTCTACATCCAAACATTTTAAAAATGGCTAAGACTCACCTGTGCTTCCTTTTCTTTGATTCTGATCTAGAATAAAAAAAGAACAGAGTAGGAGTTGGCAATCCGATGTTGCAGATGTTAATTACAATTTCCATCAGCTGCAGCCAGTGTGTCTAATGAACACAAATTATAGAATTTGTATTCAAGTCATTAAAAAAGCAACAGGTTTCCTGTTCCAACATTAGACTTTATTCCCAAGTTACCAGAAAACTGATGTCATGCCCAATAACTTTAGCAAGGCAAGACTGATGTTCAAAATTGATGCTGGATTACAAATGTGAATTCAGCCCATGAATCCCATCAAAGATGGTTGTAAGCAGATTTCTGGAAAAGTAAATGCAGCATACAGAGTGAGAACTACAAGCCTATCAGGTAGCATGCTCCTAATTTTTATACACTTTTTACCACATCATTTTTTTTGAAGCTTTCTTAAAAGAATGCAAAAAATATTTTTGAAGATAGCACTACAAAAGACATAATCATGATCAAATTATGATGTCCCTAAAATCCAATCCTCACACTAGGGACAGTCACTTTTACCTACCTACAATCCCCTTACCTGTGTTTCTTTTTCTTTGAGCTTTTTTTCCTTTCTCTTCGAGAAGGTGATCTGCTCTCAGACCTTGAAAAACCAAAAGGACAAGATACATTTTCTGAAAAACTTTAAAATGTAAACATTCCTTTTCTTATTTCTAAATCTAAATCCCCCCCTAATGAGTCTGAAAAAAGAATTCAAGTGTCTTGGGCTCACTGACCCACCTGCCTCTGTCTTTCTTCTTCTTCTTCTTCCGTTTTAGAGATGGTGACCGAGAACTGCTGAAATCTTTAATAAGACTGAGGAGACAAAGTCCAAATAATAACCAAAATTCAAGAATTCCGTTCACAACATTCTACATAAGCAGCAGTCTATTATGAATCCTATCGTTCAGTATTTTTTCTTACAAAAATAAAATCTCTCACGGGTACAAGTCAATTATGCACAAATTCTAACCAAGAATGGAATCAATCATGAACCATACCATACAGTGGTTTCATTAAGATGTAATCTTACTGTCCATGTGCAATGCTTGTTTGATATTTCGTACATTTTGTGTACTTTATTTGAATTTGTCTTCTTTTACTGTAGTAGACATAACCAGAGCTACCTTGTCACCTCTTCTTGCTTATCTTCCAGTAGGGATTCCTCATACCTGTGCTGCTCCTGCTGTTGTTTAGCCACTGCAGCTGTTGCTGCCTCCTTGGCCCTGCGGTTGGGGTCAAAAGAGCTGCCATCCACATAACTATCACTGATCCCAAAAGCAGCTCGCAGCCTCTCATTCTTCTTTTCATTGGCCTCAGCCAGCTGATGGGTCTCTGTAATACTGGAGAAGAAATAGTTAATAGAACACATATATCACAATGCAAGGATCCTATCAATATGCAGACTGAAACATGGCATATTAACTTCCGGAGGTGTTTCCTTTGTGGACAGACCGAAGACCGCAATCATGTGGGGAAATCGCCAGTTGGGTCGAGGGTAGCAGCATCTCCCCTCCCTGGCTAGGCATACTCCCTCCAAAGACGGGCTGTAGCGGTGGCCAATATGGCCACCCTGAAGGAGAGCTAACCAGGACAAAGATCATGCCAGAGTGGTGAAGAAGCAGACAGTGTGAAGACTGGACCAATCAGGCGCAACATCTGGATATAAAGGTATCCCCGAGTTAAGATACTAAGAAATTTTTTAAGAAAGACAGTGAAAGCGACGGCCAGAGAAAGTGAAAAGAAAAATTGACAGCTGAAAGTTGCTTTGAACTTTTTTTTATCTTTTTTTTTAACATAAACAAACACAAACACAAACCAACAAATAAAACCTTTCAATTATACAGTGTGTCGGTTGGTACATATTTCTTGTGCACATTATCAATAGTCTTAAATTTAAATTTATATTCATATTATATTATTCAACTTTCCATGTCATATTATCGTTACATCATCGTTAGACTTTAATTACAAATTCACATCCTTTTCGAGCCCATTTCAATTTTTACAAGTTCAAGTTCATATTATAGTTTTTTCTAAAATAATCAATTATAACATCATTACTACTGTATTATATTATTGTATTATGTTTATATTAATATATTTTATTTTCCTAAACATTGATAAAATAAATCCCATATTTTATAATATTCTTTTTCTTCTTGCTCTCTAATTGCCAATGTCAATCCATTCATCTCTGCACATTCTATTATTTCCTTTTTTAAATTTAATTCTTTATTAAACAAACACAAACACAAACAAAAAATACATTAAAAAACATTGAATATGGTACAATCCTAACATACATCTTTGTCTTACATTGCTAAGTCACGTAATACATATTTTCCTTCCATGTATACTAGATACATATATCTATTAAGTCATTTCTTATTACCTTGATCCTTCCTCTTGTTTAACCAACCATAAAGCTTATCCTATATTTTATAATAGTCCGATTCATCCTTATTTTTTTAATTCCTTTGTCAGTTTGTCCATTTCTGTGCACATCCATATTTTCCTAATCATTTTGAATTTGTTTGGAGTTTCTTTACTTTTCCATTGCTGTGCGTAAGCCAACCTTGCTGCAGTAATTATATAGATTATTAAATGTATATTGTCCTTATCATATTTCCTCATATTGATCCCTAACAAAAAAACCTGCAGTCTATATTCTATTTTCATCTTATATATTTCTTCTAGCCATTTCTGTATTTTTTGCCAATATTTTTGGGCTTCTTTGCAATTCCACCATAGATGGTAATATGTTCCCTTTTTTTTGTTACATTTACAGCATACTGGGGAAAGCTTTGGATACATTGTTGCCAATCTAGATGGAGGTATGTGCCATCTGTAAAATAATTTATATAAATTTTCCTTGAAAGGTATGGCCAAGGTCATTTTTGTTTCTTTCCCATATTTGCCAATCATCTAAATTAATATTATAGCCAAAATTTTTCATCCATACCACCGTTTCCTTTACTTTTTCTTCTTCCAATTTACATTCCAATAAAACTTTATAACTTTTTAAATCATTTTCTCATCGGTTCCTAATATTACTTCATCTAATTTTGTTTGAGAGCTACTAATTCCCCACTCTTTCTTATCCCTCAAATATTTCGACTGGAGTTGCAAATAAGCCCACCATTATTTATCAATTCCTTGATCCTTCAAATCCTGTCTAGATTGTAATTCCCCTCTATCATTTAATATATCCTCATATGTAATAATTTTTCCTTGTCAAGTAGGTGTGGGTGCATCAATGCTTCTAAAGTTGATAGCCAAATAGGCGTTTCTACATAAATTTGTCTTTTGGTTTTATTCCATGCGATTAGGAGGGTCTGTCTGATTTTGTGTCTTTGAACATAACTATAGCCCATTCGATTATCCTGCTAGAGGAAGGCATGCCATCCCGACTGCAAATTGTAACCCTCTAATACTAATATTCTTTTATTTTTATGGTTTATCCAATCCTTCACCCATGTTAGAATTGCAGCTCTGTAATACAATTCCCAGTCAGGTAGGCCAAATCCTCCTCTTTCTGTGGCATCTTGCAGCAAATTCAGTTTAACTCTTGGTTTTTTCTTTTGCCATATAAAACTTGACATCACTTTGTTCAGATTATCAAAAAACTTTTTTTCCAATTTTATGAGAGCATTTTGAAAAAGAAATAATTTAGGTAATACATTCATCTTTATGGCCGCTATCCTTGCCATGAAGGATAGTCTTAATTTATCCCACTTTTCCAGGTCTTCTGATATTTGTTTTATTAATGGGTCATAGTTATCTTTTTTAAGTGTTGTATGTCTCGCCAAAATTATAATCCCCAAATATTTAACTTTCTCTATTTGGATGCCCATTCTTGCTGCTAGCACTTCCTTTTATTTGTCATGGTTTTGGTAATTATTTTTGTTTTCTCCCTATTAATTTTTAGCCCTGCGACTTCTCCAAATTTATCCAAATTCTTTGGTCCCGAATTTTGTGGTTCTTCCAAAATAAAGACTAAATTGTCAGCAAAGGCTTGCAATTTTTTTTATTTTTAAGCCTTTAATTTCTGTTTCTTTCCTAATTGTTCTCGCTAACACCTCCAAAGTCAAAATAAACAAAAGTGACGATAGTGGGCATCCCTACCTAGTTCCTTTTTGGATTTCAAATAAATTTCAAATAAATTTCACCAAAATTCTAGCTTCTTGTTTATCATATATTGCCAATATAACATTTAGAAATTTTGGTCCAAAATCCATATATTTAATTTGCTGCAAGATGAAGTCCCACTTCACACTGTCAAAAGCCTTTTTAGCATCTAAAAACAATAGCGCCACCTGGTCACAACTATGATCTTCACAATATTCTATGACATCTAAGATTGTCTTTGTATTATTTTTGAGTTGTCTCTGTGGGAGAAATCCATTTTGATCTATATGGATAAATTCATTTAAATTTTTTAAAGTCTTTCTGCTATAATTGTAATAAAAATTTTGTAGTCCACATTTAATAAAGATATCGGTCTATAATTCCCAACATCTGTTTGGTCTTTTCCTTCTTTGGGGACAATGGTAATCATGGCTTCTTTCCAGGATTGTGGAATTTTTGCATCATCTAGGACTTCATTAAATATTTTGATCATTTTAGTACTTAAGATGTCCTGTTGAGATTTATAAATCTCTGCTGGAAGCCCGTCTGGGCCCAGAGTTTTATCATTTTTCTGTTTATTTATTGCCCAATTGACTTCTTCAATAGTTATTTTCCAATTCAATGTATTTCTTTCCTCCTCCGAAATTTTTATAAGGTTTGCTTTCTTTAAACATTCTCTTACTTTTTCCTGATGGACATTCTTCTTTCTTATATAATTTCTCATAGTATTTTTGAATTATCTTTTATCTTTTTTCTTCTTCTTGGTAACAAACCTCTCCATGGTCATTTAATTTGGTAATCCATCTCTTTTCTTTTTGTTTTTTCAGTTTGTGGGCCAGCCAACGTCCTGGTTTATTCGCATTTTCAAATAGATATTGCTTTGTTATTTTTAATTGATGGGCTAATTCTTCTTTCTCTACTAAGTTTATGTTTTATTAGGTCCATTTGTAGTTTTATTTGGTTTTTTTGTGGTTCCTCTTGTAATTTTTTCTCCAGATCTTTATATTCCTGTTCAAATATTTTTCATTGTTGCTTTTTCTCTATTTTTTTTTTCGCCATATATTTTATTGCCACTCCTCTTATCCATGCTTTTACTGTATCCCAATTATTTTGTGGAGAGATATCTTCCTCTTTATTTTCTTCAAAAAAAAAAAACCTATTCTTTTTTCAGTTTAATATTAAAATCTTTCTCCTTTAGAATTGACCTTTGAAGTGTCCATCTTGAAGTTTTCTTCTGCCCTGCCCAACTAAATCTAATGATGCTGTGATCTGCTCATAAATTTGTCTCGATGTTAATTATCAATTAGTTCCGAAATTAGTTTTTCATCATCCACGCCATATCTAATCTCGATCAGGACTGATGTCTATTAGAGTAATAGGTGTAGTTTTTTTTTCTGAATTTCTTTCTCTCCATGCGTCATAAATATTAACTTTTCCTCAAATTAAAATAAATTGGTAATTTTTTTTTCTTCTCTAATTTCGTATTATTTCCTTTATAATCTAATATTTTATCAACAACTGCAAAATCACCCAACATACAAATTTCCTCATATTGCATATCTTTAAGTCTATTACACAATTTTTGAAAAAAGGTTTCTTGTGGATCATTTAGTGCATATATTACCAACAGTAACATCTTTCTATTTCCCACTTCAATTTCAACCATCAAAATCCTACCCTCATTATCTCTAAATATTTCTTTGGCTGGGATCCAATCCTTTATATAAAGTGCCACCCCTCTTTTCATTTGTACATCAAGTGCTGAAAAGTTTTTCCCTAATTTTTTATTGTCTAACAAGTATTTTTGTTTTTCTGTTATATGCACTTCTTGTAGGGCTATTGTTGAGGTAATTCCCCGTTAGGAGAATGAGCGCATACAGGGAGATGTATTTGAGAGTAGTGTTTGAATAATACACACACAGCACACAGATACACTGTACAGTAAATATAAGTTTTTACTTCCAATAAAGGTTTTAAGCAAAGTTCAAACAAGCAGTCCAAAGTCATTCACAGGTAAGATCAGTCAGTTTTTAGTCCAGGGATAATCCAATAACAAATTCCAGTGTCAAAAACAGTTCAGTATCAGACTTACATCAAATCCAGGAATAGCAGTCAATTAGAAGGAACGGCAATATTCTCCAACAGAAGGAAAAACAGACTCACTGAGACATACTCTCTTCTGAGACTAAGACTAAACAACCCAGGTTTCTGG